CAATGTGTAATTTCAGCAATACAAAAGGAATTACTAACCCATATTGAACAAATCTAATATGATTTTCAAAAATTAAACTTATAGCTAACAAAAAGTAGAAATATAATTTCTACTTAAATTTTTTTTTAATGACACTTGTGGATGATTCAACGGTATGATGTTAAAATGAATTTCTATACCCGGACAAAATATTGGAAAAGGTGAGTCATATGCATGATCAACACTGTTGTTTATGAATGAAAACTCGGACAGAGTCAGCATAGGCGGCGTATCAATTACCAAATAATTATTTATTAGGTATTTGTTAGTAAACTTTATTAAATTTGTTTGTCAACATCTTTATTTAAACAAAGATGATGCGTTAAATATACGTTTTTGATAGTTTTCAAGAAATGAATATATTTATTCCCTAATGACTTCGTTATCTGTGTTTAATGGCTTTAAAAATTGTTTCAAGTAAATTAACGACAGACGGGTTACAGATTGAATATTGTCAGCACAGGCACAAAGACAGTTGAAAACTAACTTTCGACGACGTTAGATTTGTATCGCTTTAACTATTTATGATAATTATTTTATATTTTATAAACACTTTTTTGTATAAGTGCTCTTTTCTGATATACGAGTAGGTGTTCATGTTTGTGCCTTACAATTTGGTAGTGGTAGTGCATATTCGAGGAGTTATATTTACTGTGTAGTATATTAGGTAGGTACTTTAAAAATTTATTAAATAGTAAAATATTGGTGTCTTTATAAATTTAATAAAAACAATTTAATAGTAGAATTATATTGTTACAATAGTAATGGATTCAGAGGCGGGTCCAAAGGTTTGTTCCAACATAAACCAAATCAGTTTGCGTACTGTCAGGATTCTGCGTAGTCTAGAATTCGTGTTCCAACAAACCTTAGACTCAAAAATGTACAAAAACATAGTGTTCCAACACAACCAAAACTAACCACAAACCGATTTGTGTACTGTCAAATCAGTTCCTAGGTTTGAACAGGAATGAATTTTCAAGACATGCGCAAAGCCGCAATAAACTAAACATTTCGTGATTGTAATTATATTATTTGTATCTATTGTCTCTGACAGTTCTGATTTGTATTTGTTAATCGAGTTTAGTCTTCATAATTTTTGTTCATTATCATTTATTTTATTTTGTGGTTTATTATTGTAATGGGGCGTCTGTTGAATTTAAAAAATGTTTTCCAACATAATCGAGTTCCCAGTTGAGTCCCAATCCCTGACCAGTACCTGCCAGGTTGTCAATTACTAGTCGTCGACAGATTGTCAACGATAAGTCTTGGACTGGTTTATGTATTGTTCCAAGATCGTTGTTGGAACAAACCTTTATTGTCGACGACTGATAGTCGACGACCAGTCCACGACCTGTCAATGATTGGGACTAAATTCGAAACTTGGTTGTGTTGGAACACATGTTTCTGTTGTCAGACACACTGTCAATAACGTAAAAGAAAAAAAACATTAACAGATATTAAATTTTAAATTTGGTAAATAAAAAAATTAAAACTCATTAAAAGCTTTATAAATTTTGATTATTCGACTGATTAGTACATTAACTTATTTTATTTTTTACTGTATCTAAGTCAGAATAATAGTCCTTTTCACTTTCTACACCCAATACTCTTTCTTTGTATACTCAATAATATACTATAAATAATGATAATGAATAAAAATCAAATAACGATCGAGACTATGATCGATGATGCTATCAAAACGAATATAATCACGACATTTCCAGAGTTGGTCGTGATTTATTTACGATCTCACTTTCGTTTTGCGCATGTCTTGACAATTCGTTCCTATTCAGACCCAGGATCTGATTTGACAGTACAGAAACTGGTTTGTGATTAGGTTTGAGTATGTTGAAACACTAGGTTTTTGTACAGTTTTGAGTCCGAGGTTTGTTGGAACATCAAATCTAGACTGCGCAGAATCCCGACAGTACGTAAACCGATTTGCTATTGTGTTGGAACAAACCTTAGATGTGATTCCTAGGGCTGATAAAAAACTGTCTAGTTATGATTCTGTTTGCGAGCTACACTTTTTAGAAGATGATATTTTAAAATTTGATGAGATTATTTTAACTAATGGTACTGTTAACAAAATAAAAAGGGAAAGCCCGAGATTAAAGAACGAAGCAATACCATGTATATTCCCGAATCTCCCTTCATACTTGTTCAGTATTAGGAAAAGACAAAACCACCATTGAACCGAACTGAATTTGTTAGAATAAAAAAAAGGAAGAAAATACTAGAACCTATTGCTAAAGAAACTCTTCACCAGGATGATGAAATTGTAGTCGTCGAATACAAAAGTACCACAAAACTGTTCTTACCAAATTTCACCATTTAACAAACCTTTTCAAATTTGGTCATACCCAATTTTCATTTTATTTAGATAAAATTAAATAATGAATAGTAAATAATGTTTAACATAAAGACTCATTTATAATTAATACCAACAGTATTTTCTGTATTTTAGTTAGCAATTAAAACAAAGACTTATTTACAATAATTAAAATCAACAGTATTTTCTGTGCTTTAGTTAGCAATAAACAATTTGATTTTTATTATTTTCGTAAAATTTTGTAAAATCCCTGACTAAATATTTTCATTTAAACCGTATTTTAGTATGCCCTTAGCCTTATTTAGCTTTAATTAAAAAATAATTAACCCTACCCATCAAATTTCAACAGTTGTCATCAATAATTTGCATTTTACTTAAATAGGAATAAATAGTAAATAATATATCAATTAAAATATGTAAGAATTATTTAGAAATAAATACAAGTATGTTCTGTGCTTTATTTAACTATAAACAAGTTATTTTTATTAGAGAGTTATTGCAAGTTCACTTAAGGTCAGTCACTATTAGTGCCGCTCTTATTTTGACATCTGAGCATGCGTAGATCACTAACTTTAATAAAGATTGCGCCTGTCCTTAATAAGAGAGTTATTGTAAGTTCACTTAGGGTCAGTCACTATTAGTGCCGCTCTTATTTTGACATCTAAGCATGCGCAGATGTTTATGTTCTAAAACTGACTTTATTAAGGATTGTGCCTGTCCTTAATTGTGGATGTTTAAGGGCAGCAGGTAGTGGCGACTTTATAGCTTTCGGATGCGCTCGTCATTTAAACCTTCTAAAATTATAATTTCTAATGCCTCTTTAATATTAGGTACTATTATAGAATTGATTTGACTCTAATTACGATGTCACTATTAGTGGCTGGCTTTATAGAAATTTGCAATATCTCTCTATTAAGGACAGGCACAATCTTTATTAAAGTTAGTGATATGCGCATGCTCAGATGTCAAAATAAGAGCGGCACTAATAGTGACTGACCTTAAGTGAACTTGCAATAACTCTCTATTATTTTGACAAAATTATGTATAATTTCTATAAGAAGCCATGTTTTTTGAACTACATAAACCGTACCAGCGCCCATCTTAATTGACGTGTGATTTTTGGGACCGTATTTTGAGCATGTCGATTCGCCTCCTTATCTCTAGTCTTCATAATCCAAATATATCCAAATTAAGATTACAGTGACATATTTTATAATTTTGTTGAAAGGGTTACTGTTATGTTTGGGTAGATCACATACTTTGATTACTATACGGGGCAAGAGAGAGGTCCAACACGCCCAACATAGGGCGCGACCATTTTGATTCCTATGACACAGTTTATAGCTAAACAATCAGATCGCTCACTAAGCGTCGGCACTTTTAATCTCAATGTTCCAGTTTATACACTGCGCAACTCGGATAATACAATATATGACAACCGCCTATAATAAAACAGCAGTCTTCTGCGTATCCTGAATTTGTATCCCAGGGGGTCGATTCTCGACTTGTAGGAATATTTTCCTATAGGAATTTTTGACATTTTTATGTACATCGAAAATTTATGACATTTTCCTACATATAGAAAAGTGTCATAAATTCCTATAGGAAAAGGTTCCTACAAGTCGAGAATCGACCCCCTGGAGTGGATGTTATTTTGGAACGTTCAACTGGTCCGAGTGAGCTAACTGATTCTTTAGCAATAAACTGTGACTCCAAAAATAATATTAACTGACACTGACAGGAGCAAGCAAAATATTAGGTGCGTTTTAATCATCCGCTTCTGCATCCGGAATTATCGGTTTAGTCATTTTAACCTGTCAGATTAAAACAAGAAAACCGACAATTCCTAAGCAGAAGCGGATGATTAAAACGCACCTATTAAAAATATTGCGCCAAGATATAGGCAACAAGTAATAAGGGTTCAAAATGGCGGAGTTTTCTATCTCCTTTTAAAAGGCACTCAGAAAGCTGCGCAGTGCGACCATTCTCCGTATAGTAAAAGAAAATCAAAGTATGTGGGGTAGATAATGCTCTAACCCAGTGGGCACTGAACCTGTTAAATAATTTTTTTATTGTTCGATATTTTTGAGAAATAGTTGTTTGAAGGTTTGATTTATATCTCATACGAGAGCCTCGTGAAAAACAGAATTTATTTTTGATTAAGAAGCGAATACAAGCAGTGCAATGTTTAAATGTTGTAAAAATAGACAACCACATTTTTACATCAGACCAGTTATCTATCTACCTGGAAGCAGGGTTATATGGCGTGCCGTTTTGGTAAGAATTAAAATTATGTATTTCATAATTTTAATACACGTATTTCCATTATGAAAAATAATAAAATACAAGCGCTAAAACGGCAAAATGCTGAACTTTCATATTCATAACAATTTGGAGTCCATTGATCCATGAAATAATAGCACTGAATAGAATAAGATAGATGATAAAAGGGGCGCATCCGAATTCTGTCACAAATTAAAATTTTAGAGGTACAAAAATTAAATAAGTAATTATTAATATATTTTCTCAAAAACAAAATTGATGGAATTCTTGGAATATTTTGACGACTGCTCGGTTTTAATATTTAGGTTTTATGAAACAGTTTATTATCTACTTTAGTTGAGTTAAAATGAATAATAGTACGTCTACCATGTTTAGTGAAAAAGGAAATAAATTAATTGTCTTAAATAATTTTAAGTTTTCCAAAGCTAATACTAGCAAATGTGGAAAGATTCGATGGAAATGCTGTAACGCTAAATGTACAGCTAGAGTGTACTCCCACGTTTCCAATGAAGACGTAATAATAGAGGTCAAAGCAGAACAAAATCATGGTGTTGCAATGAATCTTGCAAGAAATGCAGTGAGTAATAGTGTTAAAAGAAAAGCAACTTGTGATCCAGCTGAGAAACCAGCAAAATTAATAATTCGAGAGTTGCAATCAAATAATTTTGCGGAGAACATAAACTCAGAAGATATCAATCGAATAAGAAAAAATATGCATATGAGGCAAGAAGAAAAATCTTGCAAATATAGCCTAAAAACCAAGAAGAGGTGTTCGATACTGTTCTCAAATTACATCTGAATACAAATCGCGGGGAAGAATTTCTAATGGTGGCAAATAAGGTAAAAAAAATTGTATTTTCTACGAACTCTTACAAAAAGACATCTTTCGCCACATGATACTTTCAACGAAAACTTGATTTCCGTCACTAGTGAGAAAAAATCCCATAACGTTTACTTTCGTCTCTAGTGACGAAAGTAAGTTGTTACATATTTTCATTTATCAGTCGCCTCGTATAATATTTTGGCAGCTTATAATTATTAATAATGAAATAAAAAGATGCTCATTAAATTCTATATGCGTTTTTACCTAAACTTTAATGAATTAAAGATAAAATAACAAGTATTAGAAATTAAAAATTTAAAAAAACCGACTTCAAAAACGTGCAGATGCCATCACCACATCTTAACCAAATTGATATGGGACCACCCCTGAGGTACCCCCTTACTAACAAAAAAGAATCATATAAATCGGACAAGGTGGTAAAGCATTATCGCTAAACATACATAAAAAATGAAGAGTTTGAGGATTTTCTCATGGACTCAATTATTATATTTTGACCAAATTTATATGAGACCACCCCTGAAGTACACCCCTTCTAACAAAAAAAGAATCATTGAAATCGGACATCGCGTTAAAGCATTATCGCGAAACATACAGAAAAAATGAAGAGTTTGAGGATTTTCTCATGGACCCAATTATTAGATTTTGACCAAATCTACATGGGACCACCCCTGAAGTACCCCCCTTCTAACAAAAAAAGAATCATTGAAATCGAACATCGCGTTAAAGCATTATCGCGAAACATACATAAAAAATGAAGAGTTTGAGAATTTTCTCATGGACCCAATTACTGGATTTTGACTAAATTTATATGGGACCACCCCTGAAGTACCCCTTTTCTAACAAAAAAAGAATCATTAAAATCGGACACCGTGTTAAAGAATAATCGCTGAACATACATAAAAAAAAAAAAATATCGCGACGAATTGATAACCTCCTCCTTTTTTGAAGTCGGTTAAAAATGTATAAAAATAGTGCAAATTAAACCAATCTACATTTAGTTTCCTGGTTTTCATTTGTTTATTTGAAGTAAAATCACTTTTGAGAACTGTCAGTTTCAGTTCGTCCTAAATTTAACACATTTTCATGATGTCTGAGTCAGAAAGCGATTGTACTCCCCCAGAAATTATTTTTAAAGCTGAAGAAACCTCTTCAGATTTATTACCGGCCAAATCAAAAAAGAGATATGAAGAAATTTATATCAAATTTTTGGACTGGAGAGAAAAAAATAAAGTGAAATCATTTTCGGAAACTGTACTACTAGCATACTTTGGAGAAATATGTTCAAATTTTAAACCGTCGACGTTATGGTCCATTTATTCGATGCTAAGAACTACACTCTCTGTTAAAAATGATGTCGATATTAGTAAATATCCAAAGTTACGTTCGCTTTTGAAAAGAAAATCTGATGGTTTTAAAAGCCAAAAATCCAAAATTTTTTCGCCTGAAGACATAAAGACTTTCCTAAAGAATGCACCTGACTATAAATATTTAATAACAAAGGTAACGGAATTATTATTTTTATTTTAACAAATACTTAATACATAACTACTAATATTTGTAAGTATCATTAGTTTTTGGATTATCTGGCGCTTGTCGTTGCCACGAACTAAAAGATTTAACAATAAGCGATGTAAAGGATACTGGAAGTATTCTGTTAGTTAAAATCCGTAATACAAAAACAAAAGTTCCGCGTTCTTTTCATATTTCTGGACCCTTATATGATATTTCTAAAAAATATATGAGCCTACGTCCCGCAAACATGGATCAAATTATTTCAAGATTCTTTATTAACTATCAGAATGGAAAGTGTAGCAGACAGGTTGTTGGAATTAGTAAAATCAGTAAATTTTCAACGAAATTGCTCAGTTTTTAACGCTTCCGAATCCTCAAGATTACACTGGGCACTGTTTCCGCAGAACATCCGCAACGCTATTAGTGGATGCAGGAGGTGACTTGCTTCTGTTAAAAAAGCACGGTGGTTGGAAATCTAGTAGTGTTGCGGAAGGACATGTTGATGAATCCACGAACAGTAAAAACCAAATATAAACCAAAATTTTACAATCTGTACAAAATAAGGAAACTACTAGTTCATCCGATTATGGCGCATCATCATCTGAAATGACATTTAACAGTAGAACAAATATGTCGGCATCTTAGATAAAAGAGACCGAAGATGTAACATTGCACACTGCGCATGTTGTCTGTTTTTACTCCAAGTAACCCACCAATTGAAAATCATTGTTTGCACGACGCCACCCGAATTGCTCCGATTTCCCATTCAACGCTCACCTCCAGGGGTGGGAAACTGGTATGCGCAGGCCTGGGATCAATCAACCACGTCCGCGTGGCGCTGCAGTCGGGTGGTGGGGTAGGTGGTGGGAGTGTAAATGACAGGTGAATATTGATTTTTGTGGGTGGGGGTGTCATGGCGTCTAGGGCTTAAACCAAACGTGAACTTTGTTTATTTATATTGGTGACTGTTGTATTCAGTTGTTTTCATTTCCAATTTGCTTAATTGATTTAGTTGACCACTGTTAATAAGCTTGTTTTTCCATTATAAATTTGTGCTTTTTCCGCTGTTATTTTGTGGTTTTTCATAAAGATGCGTAATTATAGAAAATGTTGTGTACCGAATTGCCTTGTTGTGGACAACAAGATGCATCGCCTGCCTCACCCTACGAATTCACCCGATTTATTTGATATTTGTGCACTTGCTGTTCGTTGTCCAAGATTTGATATTAAAACAAGACTACAAATTTATTCCACCTTTGTAGTATGTCATAAACATTTTGAAGATAAGTATAAAGTAGTTGGCTCTCGTCGAGGTCTAACACCTGAAGCATTTCCAACGCTATTCCTACCAGCAGTTCCTGGAAGAGTAGCGGATGGACTTTCCTCAAATAACGTAGAAATTGAATATGTTGATCAAACACCTTTTACTTCAAGTAAAGGTTCGAAGAAGAAGCAGACTAATAATATATGTTGGACTTCTTTTCGAGAAGGAAAGTTAGTAATCTACTCATTTATTTTACACTTATACTGTGTATTTTCTGTTTCATGACATTTGGGGTTGCAAAGCTGTATCGTAGAAGAAGAAGCAGACTAATAATATATGTTGGACTTCTTTTTGAGAAGGAAAGTTAGTACTCTACTTATTTATTTTATACTTATTGCTGTGTTTGAGAATCCACATCAGATGCATTTTTTACATCTCGAGCGTTTTTTTATCCACATACCTATATATAAAACCTTTATTTAGTAAAAAAACTATTTTTTACATGTCAATACATTTTCACGTTTAAAATATAAAAAATACATAAATATAGAATCAACATACATTTAAAATGCAATAAAAAATACATAAGATACAGTACACTTACATGGCAACTATACAAAACAATAAAAGAACAAGAAAGAGAAAAAAAAAACGTCAATAGGTGAACAGGTATTCACGCAGTTTTATTTTAAATATTGAACATTTAATATCCTCAGGCAAATTATTAAAAGCCTGTACACCTTTAAAAAACACTGAATTTTGTGTACATTTTTCTTATTACCTGTTTAGGTTCATGAATATCCTGATTACCTATAACTTAAAATATTTTGTAAATATACTCGGGAGATTCCTGATTTAATTTTAAATATAAAAAGCAGGGAATAGAATAGCAAATATTTTTTAACAGGCAACCACTGAAGCACATTCAACATGGAATTGATTGGTTCCAATCTCGAACAGCTCAGTATTATCCTCAGACCTCTATTCTGCAACTTTTGCAATCATTGCAACTCATTCTGGTTGATCAAATACAGTATAGTGGCACAATAATTAAAATAAGGTAATATTAAGAGTATTATAAATTATTATTTTAGCCCATTTGCCGAGATGTGGAGAACAGCGCCTCAAATAGTTTATTTTAAATCGGACACATCTGTCCCATTACATTTACGTAAACTGAATCACGTGATCAAAGATTTACTACATCTCAGTTGCATCCGATGTGGATTCTTAAACGCGGCATATACTGTGAAATTTCTGTTTCATGACGTTTGGGGTTGCAAAGCTGTATTGTAGATGTTGGACTTATTAAAAAATAAAGTATTCCTCGGACTTATAATTTTTTATTAATACATTTATTTTAATGAGATTGTACTTATACTGTCTTTCTTTTTCACAGCTAAAGTTCTTCACAAAATGATGGACAGTGTTGTATCCTGGAATATGTAGCAGCCATCCAGCTACTTCATACATAATACAATTTTCATATACATTACATTTTTTAAATATTGGATTTGTATTATATATATTCTTTAATAAATTTATTTTTTGAATATTCTTGTTTTTTTTTATCTAAATACTGTTAGCCAAATTAAGATTTGTTCACACAAACTGCATTTTTGCTTTATTATAGCGATATTTGCTATAATAAAGCAAAAATGCAATTTGTGTGAACAAATCTTAATTTGGCTAACAGTTTTTAATGCGGATAATTTTTGCTGTCAAATTTGAATAGCCCCGCGCTTTTCTTCTTTTTATTATTTTCTCTTCTTTCATATGGCCTCTTACTAGACAAGGACTTAATTGAAAAAAAATCAACCACGTCCACCAGGTGCCGCTAAAAACTCTATCATCCTTTTTTAACATGGGAGATACCGTTCTAAGAGTAAGTGTTCTGTGCTCACCTCCGCCTGAGTTCAATCACCATTGACAGCTGTTTTTTGATTTATTTGTTGGTGTTTTAGCAATTTAAAGTGTTCTAGTTATTTAATTTTAAACTCAAAATGCCACGATGTATCTTGAGAAATTGTATATACTTATAATACAAGTACCAATGTTATGAAATATAAAAAATATATTCGTTTTCAGCGGTAAATATTTATTAACGTTTTGACATAAAGCGCCATAATCCTTTGAGCTAAATACATCAGATCCGCATTAAGGGGTATTGTAATAGAAT